AAAAAGTTTGGGAGTATAATTACAATTTATTTTTTATATTTCTTTTCATTTTATTTGTTTCATTTAAATTTGAGGGTATAATGGTCATTTTACACTGAAAAATAGTGAAAATGATGTTTTCCACACTGAAACGTTGAAATAGGGGCAAAAATGCAAAAAAATGAAACGGTGGGACGTTTTGCACACTAACTATCAAACGTAGGGACGTTTTGTGCTAATAAGCCCAGGCTGACATTTCGAAGCAGATTTGGTGGATTAGAAGGATATATTTTTGCCATCTGGAGGTAAAATAGGCTGAGGTTTGTTGTTCGTGATTTGGTAGTGCAAGGAAAATAGTTTGATGGGAAGTTATATAAAGGAGTTTCCGGAGGTGAAGTCGAAGAATTCGTCGGAGGAGTCGTTACAGAGGTGGAGGACGGCGTGCTGGCTGGTCAAAAATCGTAAACGAAGGTTCAGATTTACTGCTAACCTCTCCAAGCGTTTTGAAGTTCGCGAGATCCAAAAATCTAACCAGGTTTTATTTATTATAATAACTGCCACAATAATATCTCCTTGTAAAGTTATTGACTCTACCAACTTAACAATTTACGGATTAGTGAAACTGTGTGATTTGCCTGAAGATTTCTTTAAATTTAATCATGAATTTGACTAGGTTTTCGTTAAATCTAAAATCATGCAAGTATCAAGGATTGTTTCTATTTGCCTTCAAATTAAGGAAAGGGGAAAATCTATATTCATAAGAGCAGAGTGATCAATGTTCTACATAAAACAATAGCTGGATCTTCACAGTTTTAGCCTTCATTTGCAAATGATTGTATTTTTTAGACTTGGCTTAAGATTAATCTGGAATGGAAATGGATCATTATGAAATCTGATATTCTCCACCATTAGGGAGTATAACGAGGTGCCCAAGTGGCAATACTTATGGATAACAGAATTTTTTACCTGTATCCACCCACGTGTTCCAAGGCTTGAAATGCAGAAGAGAAGTGGAGAAATTTTTTCTGAAACAGTTATGGTTTTTTTCTACTAAAAAATCACCTATTTATGATGAATTTGTGAAAAATTAATTTCATGGAAAAGAAATCATGGATTAAATCGATCAGTTTTATGTTCTCTTTTAAACTGAATTACAATAGGCCATAGCATAATCTTGCCACATATACACAAGGAATAATTCTGAAGTTATGGAATTTTGTGATGCAGTAATTCTGAATATTTTAACCTCGAATTTTACTTTATTTTTGGTTTTGAACTAAATCCACATTTTTGTCGAAAGTAGAGTTTGCTACTAGATGCTTTTTCTTCTGATAATTTCTAGATCTTCGGAAAGTTGTTTTAACATCTACAATTTGGACAATATTGTAGGAGAAGCTTAGAATTGCTCTATTAGTTTCACAAGCTGCCCTCAATTTTATTCAAGGTATGATTTTAACCATAAACTCATACATGAAGCTTTCTGTACAGCAACTCACTTTATATTGATTTTCTGCTGTATGTCTACAGGTATAAATTACAGAGTGCCAGAGGCAGTCAAGAGTGGAGGTTTTGAAATATGTGCAGATGAGTTAGGATCTATTGTTGAAGGCCACAATTTGAGTAAGTTAAGAGTTCATGGGGGGGTTGAGGGTATTGCAGTCAAGCTCTCGACTTCACTTAACAATGGAATTAGTGTTTCCGAGGATTCACTTAACAAAAGAAGAGAGATTTTTGGAATCAATAAGTTTGCTGAGAGTCCAGCCAAGGGTTTTTGGCTTTTTGTGTGGGAAGCTCTTCAAGATACAACCCTCATGATACTTGCAGTGTGTGCCCTAGTGTCTTTGATTGTTGGCATCGCAACAGAAGGATGGCCAAAGGGCGCTCATGATGGACTCGGTATCGTTGCTAGTATACTTCTTGTAGTATTTGTCACTGCCACGAGTGACTATAAGCAGTCCTTACAGTTCAAGGATTTAGACAAGGAGAAGAAAAAGATTACAGTTCAGGTTACTAGAAATGGGTACAGGCAAAAAATTTCGATATTTGACCTACTTCCTGGTGACATCGTTCATCTTAATATTGGGGATCAGGTACCCACTGATGGAATCTTTGTTTCGGGTTTTTCTTTGTTAATAAATGAATCAAGTTTAACTGGAGAGAGTGAACCAGTTAATGTAACTGCCGAATATCCTTTTCTCCTATCCGGAACCAAAGTGCAGGATGGATCATGCAAAATGCTTGTTACTACTGTTGGGATGAGAACCCAATGGGGTAAATTGATGGCTACACTTAGTGAAGGAGGTGATGATGAGACCCCATTGCAGGTCAAACTGAATGGAGTAGCAACAATTATTGGAAAAATAGGTCTCTTTTTTGCTGTTGTCACCTTTGGTGTTCTGTTGCAAGGGTTGTTCAGCCGCAAAATGATAGAAGGGTCCAACTGGAACTGGTCCGGAGATGATGCCCTGGAAATGCTGGAATACTTTGCTATTGCGGTTACCATTGTTGTGGTTGCTGTTCCTGAGGGTTTGCCTTTAGCTGTTACACTGAGTCTTGCATTTGCCATGAAGAAGATGATGAATGACAAGGCACTTGTTCGCCATTTGGCAGCCTGTGAGACTATGGGGTCTGCTACAACTATTTGTAGTGACAAGACTGGGACGCTAACAACTAATCACATGACTGTTGTAAAAGCATGCATATGTGGGAAGGTGAAAGAAGTTAGTAACTCTATGAAGAGTTCTGTATTCTGCTCTGATATTTCTGATTCCATTGTGAGAATGCTGACGAAATCTATATTCATGAACACTGGAGGGGAGATCGTCACTACTGAAGATGAGAAAATTGAAATTCTTGGTACACCCACTGAGGCTGCACTTTTGGATTTTGGCCTATTCCTGGGAGGAGATTTCCAAGCAGAGCGGCAAGCATCAAAGCTTGTCAAAGTTGAGCCATTTAATTCTGTGAAGAAGCGCATGGGTGTAGTTCTGGAGCTTCCTGGTGGAGGTTTTCAGTCTCATTGCAAAGGTGCATCTGAAATTATTTTGTCTCATTGTAACAAAGTTCTCAACTCAAATGGTGAGGTAGCTCCTCTAGATGAAACATCCATTAATCTTCTGAAAGACACAATTGAACAATTTGCAAGTGAATCTCTCAGAACTCTGTGCCTTGCATACAAGGATATTGGATGTGATTTTTCTGCTGAAAGTCCTATTCCTTTTGAGGATTATACTCTGATTGGAATCGTGGGCATCAAGGATCCAGTTCGCCCTGGGGTTAAGGAGTCTGTTGCAATTTGTAGGTCAGCTGGTATTACTGTGCGGATGGTCACCGGAGATAACATAAACACGGCTAAGGCAATAGCTAGAGAATGTGGAATATTGACTGATGATGGTATTGCAATAGAAGGCCCGGAATTTCGGGTGAAAAGTGAAGAAGAGTTGCATGAACTTATACCGAAACTACAGGTACTCTATTTTGGAAATGATTCTACTCTGAGTGTTCCTACTGCATGTTACTGAATTCTTATACTGTTTTTTATTAGGAAATTTAGCAATGATTTCAATGTGGAGCTCTAATCTGTTAACTTGGTTTTTAGCTTAATCATTCATTATTTCCCAAAAATTTTGCCCAAAAATCCACGGTATACTCATTTGAACTCTAGGTTCACATTTCTTTGCACGGGATGATATGACATTTGTGCATATAATAAGTGATTTTCTTCCTGAATATAGTTGTCCTAAACTTCTAATTGGCCATTGTTTCACATATAGACATAGTTTTTGATCCAAACATTGTCAACCTATATCTGATACCGATATATCTCTTTGGAAGGTAATGGCTCGTTCTTCACCAATGGATAAGCATACCCTTGTGAGACACTTGCGATCCACATTTGAAGAGGTTGTTGCAGTGACTGGTGATGGCACAAATGATGCTCCTGCACTTCATGAGGCAGATATTGGGCTTGCAATGGGCATTTCTGGAACTGAGGTGATGTTTGAATGCTATTTTATTCTTGTCCATTAC